ATCATTTATCATTTATAGTGTTGATCAGGCAGAGCTTTGTTGCCAGCGTTCCACTGCATAATGGCTTCAAACACGTGTATAAAAGTGTTAGTTTTTACGTAAACCGTTGGAGGAAATTACACAAACTGACTGAGCTCTAGTTAAGGTGCTTGCAGTAGTTTGTGTATGTGTATGTGTGTGTGTGTGTGTGTGTGTGTGTGTGTGTGTGTGTGTGTGTGTGTGTGTGTGTGTGTGTGTTTGGGGGAGGGTACATTGGAACTTTGTCCCCCCCAGTTTGAAAATCCTATCTGTGCCCCTGCATCCACCCATCTATTGATCCACTCACCCATCAATCTATTCATCCATCCATCCATCTATCCATGTACCCACCCACCCATCCATCTATCGACCCATCCATCCATCCATCCATGCACCCACCCATCCATTCACCCATCCATCTATCCATGCACCCACCTACCTACCCTTCCATCCATCCATCCATCTATCCATGTACCCACCCACCTACCCTTCCATCCATCCATCCATCCATCCATCCATCTATCCATGTACCCACCCACCCATCCATCTATCGACCCATCCATCCATCCATCCATCCATCCATCCATCCATCCATCCATGCACCCACCCATCCATTCACCCATCCATCCATGCACCCACCCACCTACCCTTCCATCCATCCATCCATCCATCAAGTCTTGGGTCTGCATCAATAATCATGAGTCAATTCTCTAGATTTACTCAATTCTAACATGTTTCAGTAAATTCCAATAGAAAATATCAAGAAATGTTTCCTTTGCTTGAACCACATAAAATGAGCAATACAAACTTTCTAAAGACTAACTGAAACAGTGAATGTTTTCCAACATCCGCATTTCCAATTGCAAACCAAATTCCTGACTTTCATGAGAAAAACACAAAGATTAACCTTTCTGTAAATGTGGGCTAAAACCCATCCAAACTAATTATCAGAATTGTTTATTAAGAAATGTAGCTGCTGACCAGGATTAGAATCAGATGCCTGCATCGTCACTGTATAATAAAAAAATGTAGAGAGTACTCAAATTATGTGAATGATAGAAACACGATAGATACCAAAAGAATTCCCAATGAAAGAAAAACAACAGGACGGTATAATAAAGTGCCCATAACAGATAATTTTAGATTATGATTTTCACTCATGAATATATATGCTGGAATACTACATCACTGCTCATAATAAATACATAAAACATTCAAACTAATACTTTTATTGAAGAGCAAGACTTACTCTACCAGAGTCTTACTCTACTCCTACTTCCTGTTTGAAAAATGCAAAAAATGCTGTTGCCTGGCAGGCCGAGAGGGCAGAGCCGCTGACAAATTCACACACACACACACACACAGGCTCACAACGACATTGTGATGCCATAATGTACCAGCTAATGTGATAGTGTACCTCTTAGCCAATAGCAATGGCAGGTTTTAATTCAAATGCAGTGGTGAGTTTTTATCTGAAGACAGTTTTAGGCAGAATATTTCAATTTTAACTAAGAAGCACTAAAGTATGATTGTCTACACGTGTCTACATGATTAGACACTCATTTATATAGTTTATCAGCAAACAAAGTAGATGCTCTTTAAATTGGTAAAATTTATATTTTCCCATATTTAGAACTTTTTTGTTGGAAGCATTTATTTGATCTAGAAAAACCACAGATATCTTCTGCCCTCTGTATAAAATCTTCATTAAATCCTTCATTCTCATATCTGATCATCTTTGGTTTGAAGGTGCAGCGACACAACTGTAAAACTAAACTAATGTAACAACTTAGAGGATCTGTTATGAATATGTATGCACATACTCAGGTTTCTAAACTACTTGTTGGTTTTGACCACTTCGTGTGTTTTAAAGTTAATCTGGGGTGAAACTGGAATCCGGTGTGGATTTAAATTCGTAGGAGTTCAGAGGAGGATGGCGAACCGCAGCCAAGCAAAGGCTTGGAAATGCTGACTCGGCCTATGTCGCCTAATCTATTTGAGGCGTGATTAAAGTTTAATTTGTGCCCATCTCCTAATGCTGGCCGGTGCCTCAGCAATGGGTCAGCGAGTAGTTTCCAGCTGAGCCCAGGTCTTTTCTCTCTGCCTGGGCCTTACTTTATTCTTGCCTGAGGGACAACAGGAGCTGCAAACAACTGAATTTTTCATCAAGGTTACTTCCTGGAGAGATGTGCCAGGCAGCGGCAGCTTTTTCCCTCGGTGTGTTCCTGGCTCATACATAAGCTACCCCGCTCTGACCTGCAGCTCTCTCTGGGACAAGCTGTTTGACCCCGGTCGTGCGAGAAAAACACAAACTGTGAAATGTTTTATTAAACTTCAGGTGACATGTTTGCCTTCTGCATACAGCTCCATTCATCTTTGTAGCATTCGAATACAGTTTATGACTCGTTAGCATGCTTTAAATACAGCATAAACTGCACTTTCTTAAGTAATATTTTGATAATTTCTAAAGTTTGTTTGACTCTTTTTTTTTTACTTGTTGAATTTCTTCCACAGAATAAACATTTTTTTGGTGTAATTTGTCTTTTTCTGTTTTTATTTATTTTTATCAGCGCAGCCTCACTGGAAAACTGTAAACACAACACGACTCAACAAATTCAACGAGTTCACATTCCTGTTGGGAATACCATTAACATTTTTTTCATTCTTTGAAAAACAACTCTGCAACTTTTGGAGAAAAACACACACTATTTATAGGAGTGTTTTCACATCAAAATTCATTTGCAATTATAATCAAATCCCACTTTAAATGAAAAAAATCTGAATATTAATGCAGAACAACACATTTGGATTTAATGCAGGGAAAAATATGCAATGCCAAATCTCTCTCTCTCTCTCTCTCTCTCTCTCTATCTCTCTCTCTCTGTTTGTCTTTCGTTGAGGTTGCAAGCTTTGCTTTATCTGAAATACAGGAATCAGAGTCATAAACAAGGTTTTATTTATTCTGTTCTGGGTTTACTTTCCCAACAGCATCCAACTTGTAAGGTCATTTCAGTTTATTGGCTTACACTGGAATAAATTTGAATTTAAAGTGAAAGGAACAAGCTGTTTAGATCATATTTCACACTAATCAATGCTGCTTTGATTTTTAAATCAGAACTAAGGAGGCATGGGGGAAGTTTTCGGAGTCGTTTACACCGATCTGGATGTGAAGAATCATCACAAAGATGCACCTTTTATTCAGATTTTACGAATGCTTTACTGTTAATTGTGCACCTTTACGGCTTGAGCACCTCCACGACTCCATCCCATTGTCACACTGATAAGAACTGAACCAGAGAAAAGGAGAGTAGACGTTCATGGCTGCATTGTGAATCTTGCAACTCCTAAGCGTCAGACGTTATCACCACTACTACCCTCAACCTCACCCTGCCCCATGTGACAATTACCAGCCTACCTCCTTATTCAGCACGTAATGAGAAAACTGACTGATCGATTTCTGTCGGGCCAGTAAAAGAAAGCACAGACCAGCCTCTGAGGCACGTAACTGCTCTGTGTCTATGTTATGACTTGGATTTTTCACGCGTAAACAGTTAAAGACAAAGCCACAATTAAACATCTTTCTGTTGTCATGTGATTTGCAAAAGGTTGCAACAAAGATAATTTAGCAGATTTGAATCATTTGTGTTGACAAATAAATAAATGAACTTTTTTCAGCAACAAATGAATGAAAATAGTTAGAAGATTTTACCTTTTGCCTATTAACTTTGTCCTTGTCCTAGAACTAAAAACAAAGTATTATTACATCTACTAAAGGTTGCTTTTCTCAGAATTTACCTCACTACCAAATGGTTCAAGATGAACCATTTTGACATAAAACTTCTCAAACCAAAAAACAAAACAATGAATGCAAGTGAACGGGACTAAATAAGCTATTTTCTAATCCACTTATTTTTTTCAATCACACATTTGTTGTACTTCAATTTAAATGAAAAGTAATTAATTGTGTTTCGACCACACCAGTCATCTACATAGATTTATGGTGAGGTTTTCCAGGCAGTCCAACCGGGAGGAGACCTAAAGGTAGACCCAGGACACGGTGGAGGGACTATGTCTCTCAACTGGCCAGGGAACGCCTTGGGAGTCCCCTGGAGGAGCTGGCCCAAGTGGCTGGCGAGAGGGAAGTCTGCGGCCTCTCGCCTTAGGCTACTGCCCCTGCGACCCGACTCCTGATAAGCGGATGAAAATGGATGGATGGATATCTTAGTTTTCTATTTTAGTGACAACATGAAACAGTCTTTATCTCAGCATGTCTTTTTAACTTCGAATAAAAAAAAATGCTTAAATTTCATTCATTCTGAGACTCTGACCACATCGGCAGGCACAGAGGCTCCATACTTGCTATCAGGGTGGCCCTGGCCCACTCTGGACCTCCCCTATGACTGCCCCTGATTCTCATCCAACACAAAGCTTTACTTCTGATTAATTTCTAATTTATTTTCAATGACATGTAAAAACAGCCACCAACGTGCAACATCAGTCAAATCTTACCTTTAATTAATTATGAAAGAGCTTTATTTCACTCACAAAATTGTATTTATTTGTGTTCTGCAAAGCATTTTGACTGTTATGTGTCTGTTTCACAAGGAATAAGGAATGCCTTCTATAAACTGCATCATGTTTCAATAAATTCATCTTGATTTATTGGTCCTTTGACTGATTACAAGAATGTAAATATTCAGCAGGAAAATATATAGTCCGGGTGACAGACGGAGGGTTTCCTGCAAAGCACCGGCACGCCGCCCTGTTGGGTCAGAGCTCCATGCACTCACAATTATTTATTAGGCTACATATTCACTCTCTATCCATCACCTGCACTGCCACCCGGTCCGGTCACATCTCTTAACGTTTATTACTGTGTCCCACCTTCCCCAGGAGGATGATTGACGTTTGCGGAGAGGACCGAGGTGGGACTTGTGCGCTCCTTTTGCTCCAATCGTGGCTCGAGGGGCGGAGGCTTTTCCATCCATACTCTGATTATGAGTCAGTTACCAGACATAAGCGAAACAATAACAGTTGGTGGCGACTTTTGCGTCCCAATCATCCGCAGCGCGACTGTATTCATCGCGTCTTCGTTTGATTTTTTATTTTTTTATTTCACCTATTTGGCGCATCAAGATCCGCGAGCGCGTCGGAGGGTTTCGTAAACGCAGCCCAACGCGCTCCACTTTTAATCAGATTAGAAACCTTTAATGTTTCTTCTTCTCCAGTAGCGGTGCAGGAGTGGCCACAGCCAAAAGCAGCGATTCAGATCAGATTTCACCTAAAAGCAGCTGGGAGAGAGACCCGAGAAAGAGCAGGGGGAACAGCGAGAGAGCGGGCTTGTCATTTTAGTCTCCCTCCTCCCAAATCCAGAAAAGCTTACCAAGGAGGAAAAAAGGAGAAGTGTCTGGGGCTCAGATACACGGGAAGAATCCAGAGGAATTTCCGAGGATATTTTCTCTTCTTTTTCTTCTTCTTCATCCCATTTTTTCTACCTCCCCCTTTTTTTGAGATCAGAATTTGAAAAAAATAAAAAATAAAAATAAAAGTTGGAGGGGAGGCAGCGAGGACCGTGGTCGAGGATGGACGAGCAGCCTCGGTTGATGCACTCCCACGGGGTAGGCATGGCCGGACACCCCGGCCTGGCGCAGCATATGCAGGATGGCACGGCGGGGACGGACGGGGAGGGACGGAAGCAGGACATCGGAGACATTTTACAACAAATAATGACCATCACAGACCAAAGCTTAGACGAAGCGCAGGCGAGGTGAGAAACAACCCGAAAATACGCACTTGTGTGTTTTATTTGATGGGATACTTGTAAACAACTTTAGTTTGACTGTTTTAATCGGAGTTATTAATTAATGCGTGAATCGTGTGGATTAAATAAAGATCAGTGGAAGACTTGGCAACTCAGTTATAACTGTTCCAAAGACGCTTACATTGTAATCCCGTACCTCTTCTTTAGCCCAGAGCAGCACTGACACCAAATAAACATAAACACAAGTACATTTAGTTGGTTTACATGTTTATGTTAGACTAGAAATCAAGAGTTTATGTGTCTGTTAGGAAATTAATGAAATCATTGAACAGCTTCAATAAATATGGATACAATTTTGGCTCCATGTCTGTATTTGTTACACAAATTCCTCCAAAAGTCCCATTTAAAGGGTTTGTTGGCGTTTCCACTTGTTTGAATATTGATTTGGAAAGCTGTGTGTTTTCCATCTTTTTTTTTTTAGGAAACATGCACTCAACTGCCACAGAATGAAACCTGCCCTTTTCAACGTCTTGTGTGAGATAAAGGAGAAAACAGGTAAGGACACTGATGAGAGGGTCATTTCTTTTTTTCTAGAGAGGTCTTAGTGTCTCAGCATCTCTAATAGTTGTTTAAAAGCTATTTATTTTGCAAAGCAGACTGCGTTTGCACATAAAATTGCCTGTTCTTATGAAATATTGTGGATAACAGGTTATTTTTTGTGGCAGTGTGTGCAAAAGGTGGCAGCTTAGATTTTCGGTTTATGTTTACAAAAAGAAAAGGGAATTATTACAGTTTCTCCTGCAGATGAAAAGAAGCCACGTGAGTTTTACTCTGAAGGGATGTCTGAGACAGGAGCTTTTTCAAAAGAGGAAATAAAACAAAATATCCAATAACACCTTATCTGCCAGCACAACTTGGAAGCTCTCTGCCTGGTTATTGAGAGAGCTTGTCACTTTGCCGGCTCTTGCTTGTCGTGTCGCAGCCATGTGAGATGGCTGAGAATAAACACAGGGGCTGAAGCTTGCAGGGATTGCAATCCAGTTTTCATTAAAATAACACAAAACTGTTCCTCGCTGACATTTCATTTGTGTGAGTCAGAGCTTGGCACAGGTTTTCCTCCCCCCCCTCCCAAAATAAAACGGGAAAACAGGAGGAACATGCAGACACTTGAGATTTTCATCAAATTTACAAAGAGCACACCCGTCGTTGGGGAGATAGCTACAGTACAGGCTGGGGGCCCTGCTTCTAAATTGCAAGGCTTGGAAAAGCGAAAGAGTAATGCCTGGCTCTTTGTAAACTGTCTGGCGTCTCCCTGGGTTCAACCAGAGTTTGTTTCCAAAAGGAAGAACAAAGTGACTTGGACCTTTTCCTGGCTTTTCCCCCCTGCCTCTTCCCTCTTCTCACCGTTCTTGGCAACCAGGATTTCTGACAAGAGCGAGGCTCCCCTCAGACTGCAAATTGTCCTCCCCTCTGTTTAGCACCAAGTTTGGAAATGAACATGTCTCACCGCAGCTTGTATTCTCTCTTTTGGTGAGCTGGAGCAGTTATTTTTACTCTTCTTTCCCCCCCCCCCTCCAATGTCTGCTACATTTTCTTTTTTATCAAAACAGAAAAGCGTTTAAAATGTATGAATAACTTAAACTCCCTCACCTTAGCAAAAGAAAAGCAGCCTTCCTGTCTACATTTGAAGAGCTGAGCTGCAGCTCGTCTTCGCCTATAGGAGGGTTTGTGCAGACGAAACTGAAAATCCTTTCACTGCAGTGACAGAGAAAATGACTCAAACCTTCACCATGGCATTTACAGCCAAATGTGCTGAGTGCAGAGTATGTGAGAGGAGAACAGCCTGCAATTTGTCGGGACTTTTTTATATTCTTTATAGAGTCAGCTTCTCCTTGCTGTTTTTACATTGTTGCAGTCAAGAGTGTCTCAGAGAAGAGGTGCAAACGAGGAGTTCATTTTAAGCTTCTTCGACCGTTTTTTTAACCATAAAGACAAAGCATTTCTCTGCATTAGTTACATTCTGCATGTAGTTAAGCCGTGTGCAGCTCCCCCTTCCCGCCTGTGCGGTGGATCGGTGGTGTGAGGGTTGACAGCAGCAATATGGGTCATTGCTGCAGTGAGGTGTCCATTGGCAGGCAGCTGACAAACAAGGCGGGAGTGCATGCCAATAGCAGACAGAGAAGGCCTTAACTGATGACCCCACAGCACCCCACTCCTTTTTTATCTGTGCCGGGTCATTCCCGTGTCACTGCGTTGGAGTATTTAGCAAGCTTAAACAAGCTTAGGTTCACACACTGGCTTATGAAAACCTACAGCGGTTTCTCGTGTTACCACTTAGAGATGTTCCGTTTGGCAGCTGAGGTTGTGTTTCACAGAACCGTTTCCCTCCCCGTCTCCAGGCCCCTCGCAACTTTTTCTTTCCCTTTCTTCTCTGAACTATCGTCGTTGTTACCGAAGTTCCTGAGAGCACTTCAGGTTTGTTTTCCTGTGCTTGCTTCACATCCTGCGAAGAGAGCTGGAGAGCGTCTCTGCGTGGAACCATTAACGCGAAGGAAGCTGGCACGTACAGGTTGACTAAGAAAGAGAGGCCAGACACCAAGTCAGTGTTTCTGGGTGTCGGATTTCAGGCCGACTCCCCCCTCCTGTTTCTCTCTATCTGCGGGCTTGGGACTGTTGCGTCAGGCCTCTTCGTGTCTGCATCCTCACGTTACATTCATGCAGACGACAGGTCAGATGGAGAGCTCCTGCATGACTAATGTGATCAGGCGGATAATGCATTATGCCGCTTGAACTTATCAAAGTCGGAGACCTGCTGAATCAGTCTATCCTGCTAACTGCAGCCCTCCCAATGGCACCGCTAATTAGACAAAACATTTTAGATATTTACAGCGGTGCTGCGCCTGGGGTCCTGTTTGGACTCATGAAAATGTAAGACTTCCTCCGGCTCGCGGCACACACTCTTAAAACCCCTTACCGGATTTTTTTTGGTGTCTGATATGAAGCATTTGACAATTTTTGGATGGTTTTCTGTTTAGTCAGGATGTGCCTTCAGAAAGTTTTCAAAGGGTTATCCAGAAGAGGGGCGCTACTGATAATCTCGAGGTCACAGAAATAACTTGAATCTGACAAAAGTAATAATAAATAAAAATTCTATGAAATGTAACCTAATGAAAGTCAGACGTTGCTTTTCAGCCATGTTTCAACAGAATGATAATAAAAATAAATCATGGAATAGGCCTAAACAAAAGACTGAGAATTAAAGAGAATTAAAGGTGTGTTTACTAATTAGCATCACAGGTGTCAACAATCTTGTAATCAGTCAGTGGGCCGATATGTAGGACTCCAGGTAGTCATTGTGTTGTTTGGTGACTTGGCGAGTACCACACTCAACATGGACCAGAGGGAGCGTACATACATTTGTATACATTCATGTGCTTAAAGCTGTCCGGTGGCACATTAATAGAGATGGCCACACGTTTTACCAGACCAGGAGAGTTAAAGGCCAGGTTCACCGAGAAACCATTTTTTACATGTTTTTTAAATCTGATTGGAACCACTGAGTTTCACATGCAGTCTGAACGTGAAAATAGTCTTCTACCCCTTTCCTGAATTAGCTGCTGATAGAAAGATGGGAAAATCCTGAGATTAGAAAAGTCAATCAATTCTATGTCACAATTAAAATTAGCATTCATGGACTCACCTGTCTTGGCCCGTGATGGAGAAGGCTGTTGTTGGTTATTAGTATCCGGGAGAGAGCTACTAGAGGCTAGCAAGAAATTGCCTCTTTTTGCCCATCAGCCAAGGCCAACATTAGAAACCTAGGAGTTATTTTTGATCCAGCTTTAAGTTTAGACTCACACGTCAAAACCATCTCCCGCTCTTGTTTCTTTCAACTGAGAAACATTTCAAAAGTCCGTAAACTGGTTTCTACTGCAGATCTGGAAAAAATCCTCCATGCCTTTGTGTCATCACGCTTAGACTATTGCAACGCTCTTTTTACTGGTCTCAGCAAAACCTCCCTCTCACGCCTTCAAGCCATCCAAAATGCAGCAGCCAGACTCCTAACCAAATCCAGCAGACGAGCTCACATCACTCCAGTTTTACAGTCCCTCCACTGGCTCCCGGTAGAATATAGAATACAGTTTAAAGTTTTAGTCCTGACCTATAGAGCTCTTAACAACCAGGCTCCAAGCTACCTATCTGAGCTTTTATCCCCACACACCACCTCTCGGAACCTTAGATCCACATCTGAAAACCTCCTGGCTGTTCCTCGAACCAGACTGAAAACAAAAGGGGACAGGGCCTTTCAGACTATTGCACCCAGACTTTGGAACAGTCTACCTTCAAATCTCCGTCTCTCTAACACTGTAGAGGTCTTTAAAAATCATCTAAAAACTCACCTTTTCATCCAGGCGTTCCCTCCCTAAATGTTCAAAAAGATGGATTTGTTCGGGTTCACACCTTCACTTTGTTTATACTCATGATTTTATTTACTATTTTATCACTGCTGTTGTTTTTCTGATGTTTTTATTGGTTAGAGGTATTTGCCCTGATCTTTATCATGTTGTACAGCGCTTTGTGATTTATATCTGTGAAAGGCGCTCTATAAATAAACTTTTACTTACTTACTTACTAGCTGTTAGCATTAGCAACTCCACCACACAGCAGAATTCCTTCAGGCTTTTGTTATTTGTGGAGATAAAACATCAACGTTGTAGAATAAACAGAGTGAGTGGAAGAATCACATTGCTGTTAGCCAATCAGAGAGGAGGTGTCCAAATATCAGGAAATAAGACTCCATATTCTGCCGTGTTCTTCTACACCTCTGGCTAACTTCTAGTTCCTGAAACAGGAGCGCCAGAGCTTTTGTTCCCAACAGCAATCATTCACTTATACTAGACACCACTGCAAAAGTGTTGGTCTTTAAATAAAACAGAGAAACCCAGCAAATAACGAAATGATGACCCAAAATGTAGTTGAGCAATTAAGCTCCATGAGTCGTCTCATCATGACCTAATCAATGAGTAAAGGTCTACGCAGGCCTAAAATAAACCCACAGGTGTGTGGAGATGATATGAAGTGTTTATTTCCAGCGTTTTCTTTAATACCAGCACTAAACGATGATAGAGGTACTCGTTGAGCTCCCATGCAGCGGGTGGATAAACTGGTCACTATGGCTCCCAGTGCTGCTGTTTTTCAGTATTTAATTGACATGGCTGTCCATGATGAGTTCAGGGGTTAGTGTTGCCTCTCTTTGTTACTCTCCTCTCATATCCAGTGACAGATGGAGGCATTAGTCTCCAATGTGGCGCTGTCCTGAAACTAATGGCTATGTCCTTGGCTTCCCCGTGCTAGCTGGGAGACCGTATATCTGTCCCTGGCTTGGAAGTGCAGAAGCAGCAGTTTATCCCCATCCTCTCCTCCTCCTCTCCTCCTCCTCTTCATGTTTTAGTTTCCACAGAAATAAGACTGAACAGGACGTTGTCTGTTCCCCTCATAAATAACTTGAAATAAATATCTTCAAAACGAGCGCAAATTTTCCTTTAAAAAGCCGA